ATCAGGATTTTAAGATAATTTATTAAAATCCTTAAAAATTTGGGTGTATTTGTGACATCCCATATCGCCCAGGGGAGTGATCCTTATATGTATATTCTCATCCTACCTAGCTCGAGGCCTTTTGGGAGTTCACTGGCTTCGGGTTTCATCAGAACTCTGAAGTTAAGCTGAGTAGCGCGCGAGAGCAATCCCATGATGGGTGACCCACTGGGAAGTTCTCGTGTGAGTTCCCAGAAACAAAACCGTGAGGGTGTGCTGGGGGCCCAAAGCGGACAATATCGTGCTACGGTGGAGTCGGACCCAGGAAGTGGTCTCGCCCAGGTCGGGATGTGACAGTATTCAATTAGGATTTTAAAGAAGTTTACAACATTCTAGGTGTATTCAATTATAATTTGATTTTAAAGAATTTCAAAAAGTTGAGGAATTGGAGAGAGTTGAAGAGATTTTCTAGTGTATTTTAAGCATCCACAAATCTCACATTTCCCCATGAGATTTCGAGAGAATTGAATCAAAATTTTACATGGAATCTCTACAAATCAATTAAACTCTATAAAAATTCATGGATTTATAAATTCATTAAAATCTCTCAAATTCTCAATTGAATACACCCCCCCTAAAGTTATCTATTGTTTTCAATGCATGTGATGAGTCAATTTCATATTAAATATTTTACCTTATTCTTAGTATGTTTTGGTAATTATTTTGGTAGAATTTTGACAATTTGCTTTATATTTTCAATATAAGACATTCGACTTCCTCTGGAGCAAAACATGATCAAACGGGAGATTTTTGGAGTGATTCAAATTGGAGGATGTTTGTGTGTCTGTTGGTGTGTTCATGTCAAAATTTGAGATTTTTCTACCAAATGGTTATTTTTTGGCGATGGAATAAAGAAGCAATGCGCGATTCTGCAAAGTGACATTTTTGGGTTTAATTGTGATTTTTGGAGCCCAAGATGATCTTTGATGGGTTTGTGGCCTTATGGAGAAATGTTCAAAATATTCTAAGTTTTAAATCTAGCTATTTTTGGCTAGTTTTGGAGCAGATATGAGTCCAAAACGTGGCTGTGCAGATTTTAGGCGAATTTTACTATTTAATTTAGGATTATTTTTTTATTTTAATTTATTTGGTTTCCTAGTCTTGTTGGAAGACATTTTATTATTAGGAGGATTTAATTTAGTAGGATAAATAAGCTTGCCAGCCCTAACTTTATTTGCTCCTTTGCCATGCGATATTCAAAGAGGAAATTGGCCAAGCGTAAAGATTTTCAGACTTTTACATGTTTTCAATCTTTTGGTTTTAATTATGAATATGCGTAACTCATTCCCTTTTTGCTAGAGTGAGACCACAAGCCTTAATAGGAATATGTAGTTTTTTTTTAATTTGCTTATGATAATATGCAAGCAGGTTTTTGAATTATTAATCACCGGTTTAAACTATCCAAGTGTCTTAATGATTCACAACTATTAGAATATTTAGAAAAGTAATTTGATACAATTTTGGTCGGAGGTCGGTACCTAAAATTAACGAAGGATTCTTGTGATTAATATGTGCAAGTTCACTTAGGATGAATACCACGTCTTAAGAGTTGTATGGTTTTTCCAAAGGTTTCACCAAACTTAATGAGTCATGCATGTTTAGATTTGATCTGAATACCACAGACAGATTGCATATTTGATATATGCTCTATATTGGGAGTCCAATAGGCATATATTAGGAAAACCTAACCTTTAAAATATGCATGTCTACGTCAGTAATTGAAAGAACTATATAGTATTGTTAAGGTGACGGCGGAACCTTAGTGTTTTCTCAATTTGATTTCTAAAAACTGTTTATGTTTCCTCATCTTTAATATTGTAGATTTTTCTATTCTCATTTATTACATTCGTTTTTATTTAATTTGGTCATAAAATCAATCATACCAAAGATATCTTTGCTTTACAATAATTAACTGAAATTTGATTTGATACAAATTATTTAATAATCTTTGTGAAGAATGACCTTGCCAGAATCATTTAGGCCTCGTTTGTAGCTTGGACTGTACTGACTATTTTTGTCGGATATGATAAATAGTCACCAAATAGTACTGACTAAATTAATCAGGCGTTTGGTGCAGTATCGGATTAATGACCATATTATTTATACTGTGTTTGGTACTGAACCGGATAAGAAAATGGAATGTCAAATAACAAAGAAAAGCCATTAAACTGAGCTGCTAAAAGGGCCAAATTCTAACAGCTGACTATGTGCAATGTCGGTGGAGAAGTGGAAATCTTGGGAGAAGGTGGAGGAGCGGGAGGAGGTCTTGGCCGGAGAGGGGCAGTAGCACAAAAAGCACAGGCTGAAATTAACTTAAGAAACAGTTGAAAGCTGCAGATAAAGGAAGAACAAAAAGCATAGAGCTTTAGGAGCAAGAGAGAGAAAGGAAACCCGGGCAATCTAAAACCAGTAGTATCTCACAAAAATTAAACCATAAGAATAACGATGAACACCAAATTAGTGAAAAGCTCCGGAGAATTAAGAAAAAAGGGCTCATGTTCGTTGGCGTCTTCAGGAATTTCATCGTTCTCCATGGTTGACAATTTTCCGATGGACTTGGGATTTGCTTTGTTCACGCAAGTGTGGAGGGAGAAGAGAGATATGAAAAAGTTGAACCGGGGATGGGAAACAAAGAAGAATAATAGAGGGAGGGGAAACAAAGAAGAAGAACAGAGGGAAAGGAACCTGAGAAGATGAACTGGGATTGAAAGATAAAGAAGAAGGCATGAAAAGACTAACCTGGAGCAGAGAGAGGCTGCATCTGGAGAAGAAGGAGCGCCCGACTAAATTGTACCATGGTTTTGGAGAGGATAAGCAAGTGGGCGTTTACCGTATAAAATAGATGGGCCGGATTGTTTAATCTGGTGGCTATTTCATAAAAATGGACACCAAACACCGTACTTTGTATTATTAATATTATCCGGTGTCTTATACGGTGTGCCAAACGAGGCCTTATACTACAATAACATTATCATTCTTGCAAGTTTTATAGGTCTTTTTAACCCTTTTGCCTATGTGGTAAAACTCCTATGAGCATGTTTACTTCCTACTTGCTAAGCTTAAAAAGCTCACCTATTTGTTTTGTTTCCATTTGATTTTATAAATTTCAGGGGCAGACTCTAGTACTGATTTGGCTAAAATCCGTAATCAAAAAGGTATAAACTGAAGCTTACTTGGGATTGGCATGACTGCATTTTGCTGGGATGTTTATTGAACCTTTGTCTCACTGCACCTTTAAGTTTATTTCTTTTGAGCTGTAAACTTTCCTCCCTTAGTGGCTGTTGTGTGTATATTTTAGAAGTTTCAGGTTATCCCTTATTAATAAACAACAGGGAAACTTTTGCGGTGAAGTATTACAGCTGAAACTTCTAATCAAGTGGGTTTGTAAGAATATCATAAGTTAAATTGAATTCACTTGTGTGTTTGGAAGGGTTTGGTTATTTTTGGTATGTGAAAGATGGTGGCATCATTGCTTCGTCTACGTAGCTCCGTTCAGAAAGTTGTTGAGTCCATAACTAAAGTTTCAAGATATTCGTATTCCAATCCACCTTACTCAGATCTTAGAAAATCATGGTGTCACATTTACCAGGAGACGGTGAGTGTGAAATCTTCCCAACATGAAGCTCGAGGAACTCACAGTCTAGCTTCATTCTCGAAGAATCTGAGGTCTATGTGAAGCTTGTGATGATGTAAGGAAGATGATGGGGGTAATTTGGTGGTCTTGGTTTGACGGTGAACAGCAAACCATTTTGTTGGAGATTCTACAATTGTTATCTGAATCAAGTGACATGGATTGGAATTATACAGAGATAGAATAGCAATTGCAGTTGGGATTGTACAATCGTTAGAGTGGAAGTGGGTGGGCCGTCAGAAAAATGCATATAATCCATAAAAGCAAACTGATAAAAGAACCAAAAACCAGAAATGCAGAGCCTTCAGTGGTGCTACCAAAGCCAAACTCATCCAAATTAGTCTTTCCCACCACAATCCCACCCAACTCTTTAATCTTCTTGATGGCAGTGGCGTTATACAATGACGTATAGACCTCCAGAACACGAGAAAGCTGTGCAGATATTGTCCTTGATAGCGACAAGAACCCAGCCAGGAGACCAAACTCCTCGTTCCTCTGAATCATCTCATCCAGCTTGCAGGCTTAGGCGGGGGCCGTGTCGAAGGAATAACCTCTTCTGCATAAAAAAATTCTTTGGTCTTCAAATGATATCTTAGGTGTGAAGATTGGATTGTTCAAGGCCTTTAGTATAAATACCATCAAATGATATCTTAGGTGTGAAGATTGGATTGTTCAAGGCCTTTAGTATAAATACCATCAAATGATATCTTAGGTGTGAAGATTGGATTGTTCAAGGCCTTTAGTATAAATACCACCCACACGAACATCCATTAAAATCTCTCCTCCATTGAGATCCTAGTAAATCTACGTCATTCTCATTACACCTAAATTTGCATGTACTTTTTCACATATTCTTAAAATCTTAATTTGACTACACATAGATTTGCATGTGCTCTTTTTAAATCCAGTGAAATCTTAATTTGACTATCCCAATACTTTAACTTTATTAAAATTCTCTCAAATCATAACTTGACTACATCTTATTTAATCGACTACTCTGGATTTGGATGTATTCTTTGAGTCCTCTCTATCCTAATTTGACTAGACCATGATTTTAAAGTCTTTAAAATCCTAATTAACTACCCCTCATTTTAAATCTACTAAAATCCTATCAATTCTTAGTTTGACAATTCCCGCCTAAGTTCAGAGCCAAATCTGTAGTTTACTCTAGCACTAAAGTGTCTTTGGGTAAAACAAATTTCGATGGTCATTTGGGCTTTTGTTTCAAATATTCTCTTAAGCTTGCTGGTCCAAAGTTTTGGCCCATCTCCATATTTTGGGCTCCCCCAAACAAAATGCAATACATGTGACATTGTTTCAACCTTGAACGTATTCAGCTAACTTGGGAAAAAAGCTTTCCTGTGTTTCCTCTTCTAATTAAAATCCCTCCGACTAGGGGTGGCCATTACAGTCTGATACACCAAGTCGAAGGAACCCTAAAAACCAGAGAAGAAAAAGAAGCTCAGAAATCGAAGCAATCAAATCATGAGTCGAGGAAGCGGAGGCGGATACGATCGTCACATCACGATTTTCTCACCCGAAGGTCGTCTCTTCCAAGTCGGTATGTGATAATCTCCAATACATACTGTGTGATTTTTCCGATTTGAATCTCGGATGGTCCCTCAGAGAGGGCAGATTTGTGGGTCTTTGGTTTTTTAGGGTTTTACGGGTCACCGAGATCAAAACCCATTTAATTGTTTTTATCATTTTGTTTTAATGCTGAAATCTGGGGAGAAATTCAAGATTATAGTAGCGAATGTGTACTTTTTTTGTATTGGGTTCTGGTTGGTGTGTCAATTTGCTAGCTCAATTATACATCAGTCAAATTAAGTAGCTTAATTTGTATGGGTTTTCGGTTTCTTGTCGGCACGAAAAGACAGTCGACTTAAATTTCGGTTTATTGGATGCTGAACTTGATCCCTGTAAGGGATGTTGTTTTCTGAGTTGGTTTTTCTTCGTCTTATGATTGGATAGAGTATGCTTTTAAGGCTGTTAAAGCTGCTGGGATCACCTCCATTGGTGTCCGGGGAAAGGATTCAGTATGTGTTGTGACCCAGAAAAAAGTCCCGGTGAGTATTGTTGGTGGTATAACTGAGTCTTTATTATCATACCATGCTGTGAATTAGTGCGGGTTGTAAATACATCATGATATTAATGCAGGACAAGCTTTTGGATCAGACAAGTGTCACACATCTTTTCCCCATCACTAAGTTCCTAGGGTTGCTGGCTACTGGAATGACAGGTTTCTTTTTCTTCTTCGTTGACTTTTGTTGGAAGCTTTAACTCGAACATTTGTGCTTTCGGCAATGTTTAGTTCTTTTGTAGTTCAAAAGCTCACATTGGTTCATCCTTTTGACATGTAATTTTGTAGCTGATGCGAGGACCCTAGTTTCGCAAGCAAGGAATGAAGCAGCTGAGTTTCGTTTTAAATATGGATACGAGATGCCTGTGGATGTGTTGGCTAAATGGTAATCACTTTAAGTGTTTATACAATACTATGTTATGCTATATTACAACTGAACTTTTAGCATGCAGTTTTTCAGTATTCCATCTTGAGTTATATTTTAAGTTAGAGTTGTTTAATTGTATCCATTGTATGTTTTTCACTTGTTGTGGCTGTTTTTGTTTGGGCCAGTCTTGTTGAATTTAACAGTTCAAGTAAGATTTGTTCACCCCTTCCTCTTAATTGGATATGTAGAATGGACACCATAATGGGATGCCATGGTTCTATAGTTATGGGGTTTATTGTCGGGGTTATTGGTTCACTTCATTATTGGGTAGCTCTCTCATGCCCTCTTCCCCCCCTGAAATTATGTACAGCCTCTCTCTCTCTCTCTCTCTCCCTATCCCTCTTTCTTCCCCTCTCTCTCCCTCCCTGACTAGGTTTATGTAAAAGAAATAATTTAATTTTTTCCTTTGGATAAAGTAAATATTGTAATGCCAAGTGTGCATAGACTTTTCTGCTTAACCTTAGAATTCAAGGGATTTGGATCTTCCAGTCAAAAGATCAGGGGATCATTTCTCTAGGTTAGAGGTTTTGGTTGCATTGTCTAGATGATCCCTCTTATGGTTATGTATCTTCTCATTTGTTATTTCAAGGAAAGGATGTTTAGATGAAATGCCCCAAGCGAAGGTTTTTTTTCCCTGGATGGGGAAAGGATCGGCAAACTTCAGCCATTAGTTTCTGTAATGGTTGTTCCAGAGCGAGCATAAAGCATATGAAATTACCCAACTTCAAATGCACGGTATTGGGATTCAGTAACCTCTATTTCCTAGAGAGCCACTGGATAATTGACTATACTTTAAATACTGCCTCTTATTTTCCATCCATACCAATTCCAAGTTTCTAGTATTACAGTCAGAACAGTACAGACTACTGTATATAATTGCAAAGTCATCTCATTATCTTTTATTGATATGATTTTGTATGACAGGATTGCAGACAAATCACAAATCTATACTCAACATGCTTACATGAGGCCACTTGGAGTAGGTTTGTTTCTAATCCGTTCTACAGCAGTGGATAATCTTTTCTACTAGCAAAGAACTACATCGTGCAATGATGCATACTGATTGTTTCTCTTCCTCCCTCCCCCCTATATAACCTGGTTTGTCTTTTGCATTTTCACTGATATCATTATCTACAAATTATGTTTGCTTTCAAAGTGGCTATGGTTTTGGGCATTGATGAAGAGCTTGGACCTCAACTCTACAAGTGTGACCCAGCTGGCCATTACTTTGGTCACAAGGTAAGTGCCAAGAATATTTCTTTTCATGTAACTTAATGTAAAGAACTCAAAGTATGTATGCAACATAATGGAATTTGCTGTGAGAACCACCCACACTTCTATCAAGTTTCAATTTTGCATCAATCCTATTTTGGTTTACTCATTAAACAGATACTCTTCTTGTAGGGTTCTCTCCTCCCTCTTTAGTACATGCTTTTACATTTATAGAAAGCACTTAAGATTAACTTGCATCCCTACAATATGTAGATCGTTTCGACAAAGATCAAAGAGAAAAATATAATCATCTTGAGACATCACTATTAGCTCTACTCTGCCATAGTTATATCTTTGTTTTAGAGCATCGATCTGTGGTTCTAGTTCTCAACTGATCTCTAATTACACATCTTAGGCTACAAGTGCTGGATTGAAGGAGCAAGAGGCCATCAATTTCTTGGAGAAGAAAATGAAGAATGAGCCTTCATTCTCTTACGACGAGACTGTGCAGGTAGACGTTGTTGTCATAGTATATTGAACAGGGTGCATAAGATATTTTACCTATTAGATAAAATCTATTTCCGGAGATTTTGATGGTTCTTAGCTATTGAACTATGATTATGTTAACTATAACAAAAGTAGGAATGAGAATAATGATAATAATAAATAATAAGAATACTATTTTGGGTTCCTTCTCTAACTTCCCATATTTGTTCATTTGTAGACTTGTATTTCTGCCCTGCAATCAGTTCTGCAAGAGGATTTCAAGGCCACTGAAATTGAGGTATTTGAAACCCCCATTTTAGTGTTTGAAATTTTTTACTGCTTTCTGATGAGAACCTTAAATGCACTCTTGTTGGCATATGGGTAATAAACTTTTCATTGCTTGTATGGTGTGACGGTATAATTTTCACGTAGGTTTTAACTTGTCTCGTCATGGCACTCTGTTGAGAGCTAACAGTAGATCAAATAACATTTACGGAGGCAATTTAGTTTGTTGCATTGGGATCATAAGTGTCACTCCAAGGGTCTCTGAAGGGCCAAGTCAATTGTTTCCCTTCACTCTTCCATTTTCCCTAGGAGCCTAACAGGGTCTGAAAATAATCTTGTTTTGCATCGTCTGTAGCGACCTGCTTCCAGTTCGCTATCATATACCTTTTTAAGTGTACTATCTACTACTCAGGAGTCTGTTCTGTCTGTCTCACAATCTGTTAATTACATTGATGGGGTAATACTGGGGTTTTGTATGAGATCTCTCCTGATCGCTGCTTTGCAAAGTTACTTTCCATATCCTATGTTTCATGTTTACGTATATCTAATTTCCGTCAATTTCTTGGCCGTACATGACATGCATTAAATTTTAGCCATATGTTGACGGTGTGACAATGCATTGCAGCAGCAGTAAGTTTATCGAATAAAATGTATGTTAATTTTCCATTGACAATATTCAGGTTGGAGTGGTGGTAAAGGAGAACCCTGTCTTCAGAGTGTTGTCTACCGAAGAGATTGATGAGCACTTGACTGCTATAAGTGAGCGAGACTAAGTCCTAGGCTAAAGCCAAAATTGCCTGGAGATGCTCAAATTCGAAAGTTCGCTGGACATTTTCGCATCCCATTTAAAATATAATGTTCACTTAAAACTATGAGCGATTTGGACAGGATATTTACTCGTGTAACTTTTCGTTAGTTGAATTACTGTTGTAAGATTTTCAAAATTCACTGTCTTCCATGATTTGTAGTCTTTTTCCAGAATTACTAGTTGAGTTGAACTTAACCTCTGTCCAAGATCTTTCTAAACTATCCAATGACTTGGAAATGGAAAAGAAGAAAATTACAACTATATAATTAGCCATATAGTAATGTTGTAACTTTCAGTATGGAAGTATTGTAACATTGGGGGATGAACGCCCACCCAACAACAACCCCCAACCCAACCCACCCCCCCCCCCCCCCCCCCCCCTCTCCTCCTCCTCCTCCTCCAACAAACACCCACCCAAGACGATGCGAATCTTGTTAGAGGAAGACGACGGTGAATCTTAGTGGAGGAAGGTGATGGCGACAATGATGGGCAAAGAAGGTCAGTGAGGTTGGTAGCGGCGGTGGGGCTAGCAAATGGGTGGATGTTAGTCTTCGTTGCCGGGGTTGGGTGATGGGGTGGTGGTGGCTGTTGGGTCGAAGGCCGGGGTTGGGTGATGGGATGGGTGGTGGCTGTTAAGTCGAAGGGAGAGGAAGGGGAGGAATGTATTTCTCAAATCTTAGGGTTTTAGGGTTGGTTAGGATGTTTTAACTTATTTTCTTAAATTTTAAAAAGTTACCTAATATTAAAGTTGGCTCTAGTTGGTTAGTGGGACACACGGCAAACTATTGAGAGGATATGTGCATCCACTCGAGTTAATGGTGGTGAGCAAAAATGCTCCCTTTCTTCTTAAGCTACACTGGAACTGATTAATGGCTGATTTGGGTATTCCATGTTGTTGTCAAAACACTTTTATAGTGCTAACATTAAATTATTTTCGCGTAAAATTGGATTCAATTGGATATATTCCTTTTTGTTCCTAAAGACAAATATTCGGCTACTTAAGTTGAAAGAGTATTCATTAACACTAGGGGTGGGTTTAGTTTCATTCGGTTTGTTTTTTTGCCAAAATTGAAATAGAATCAAAATTTCGGTTCGGTTTGATTTTTTTCGGCTTTTTTTTTTGTTTTTTGTTTTTTTTTTTATCCGGTTTGGTTTTATTCGATTCCTTTTTTTTGTACATATCAAGATCAGATAAACCTATATTATTCTATTAACAACCTCGAAAGCAAACAAATAAAGAAGCTCTTCTAAGTTCCAACACATCATTTGCATACTCAATATAATTAGGCCCTAGACTTTGTTCATACTTGGCAACAAAGTTTCACAAAAGAAACATAATAGCATACATTCATAAAGTGTAAAGAGATTTGGTTATGTTCGGTTCAGTTTTTGTTTGGTTTTCGATTTTTCGATTTCGGTTAGGTGTTCGGTCCCTTTTTTTTTTCGGTTTTTTATTTTTTGAACCCACCCCTAATTTGTACACCAAAAAACTTTATTGTTGTATTTTATTATGTTTTTATACTTAATGAATTCTGGTTTTTATGTAAAAAATAATATCTTACGCATAAAGTCATAAAAATTGTCTTCAACAGCAAGCATATTGCGCCAAAATTCTTTTGTCTCATCAACAACAATAACATCAGAAAATTGAAGTCAAGCAAATCCGCCCCTAAGACAACCTGGCCTATCTCTTCATAAGTCACTACTGAAGTCTACTTTTCAAAAGCTTGTTCGGGGAATTGATATGCATAAACTTTCTGAGTTATAACATTGTCAGTCCTCTTTGGAATTATGTCAAACTCAAAGGGATTATCCCGAAGTATACTCACTTGACCTTAAAATACTATTTTCCTTATGATTAGAAGCATTTTTTCCTTTGGGTTTTTGTTGCATGACTAGGTTTTAACAAGGAACCTATTCTGGGATGGTCATACCCTTGTGTATGTCCAATAGACGTTTAAACTGACTTTGCATTCAACTCACCATTTACCTTGGACTATATACTTTTGTACCATATTGGATTTTACCATAACTGAGTTTTGCAAGACTTATTTCCACATGCAAGTTCTTTTGTTTAAGACTAGTGTGTTCCTTAATCAGTGTTGACAAGACGACTTCATCAAACTTTGCTACATCTGATGTGATATTTACTAAGTATTGACATACTCAAGGGAGTGTTGTGAACATTATTAGCATATGTTTGATTGTGTAAATCCTAGTTAGATTGAGTTTAAGACTACTCAATATTCTAGTGATTATTTCCTTTTAGACTTTGTATTTACTTGGATGACAAGTTACTGTTCCCTCTTGGTTCATCATAAATAAGGCCACAAATATAAGGAGATGTTGTAAAATTGATGGTATGTGCAGTGGAATAAAGTAAATAAGTCATAATATTTACGAGGTTCAGCAAGTGTGCATAAGTCCTTGGTGTAGCGGTAGCAATCTCTCTTATTATCAAATGGGAACTACAAATGAAAACAAGAGATTGTATGTTTTCTTTTGTCGCAACATTTGTGAGCTAATAGGCCTTTATATAGAAAAACATATCGTTCCCTGCTAAGGCCAAGAAATGTGAAAGTCGGCAGCACACCTTCAACATTTGTAGGCTGACAAGATCTTCAACTTTGGTTGGCTGAAAAGAAACAGTGGGCGATGTTTATTTCCTCATGTGGTCATCCATCTTTATAACATTCCCCCTTGGATGACTACAAGTCATTTATTGACTATCTTTAAAATTTCTCTAATGATAACCAACAGGAGATGAATGGATGGTCTAAAGGAGACAAAAACACTTTGCTCATGTAGCATACTCTTAGATGCTCCCCCTGATGATATCTCCTCCTGATTAGAATAAGCAGATCAACTAACTTGTTATCACGCCAATGTGTGTTAGTGTAGTTCTTGAGCTTCTGAAGTGAAAACTTTTGGCATATAGTTCGTGAGGTTGTGTGCCATATTAGGTTTGAATGTGTTTCTGCAGTTTCCATTACTTAATTCTGTCTGTGAGCCATCTTTATGCAAACGAGAGAGATACTCATATTTTGCTTGCCTAGTAAGGCCATGGCTATTAGTGAGTTCATTAGAATTAAACAAGCACATGTCTATAATTTCCAGGAGTTATCAATAGATAAACATTATTTCATTGTAATACCCATACAGTAAATGTTTCATCTGATTCAATTATTGTGGTAAATACAATAAGGCATATACTTCACTAAGATGTGGTACTTCTGGACCAAATATCAATTCATCTTTTCCCTTATAAGGAATAATCTTTCTTAGTGTCTAAATATCGATTAATCATTTGAGTGTTCAACTCATGATCTTCAATCCATATGATTCTTTAATGCCATAAAAATTTTGATGGATAAGATTCACGTTGACATATTGTTCGATCTGCAGTTCAAGACAATACTCCTTTCAATACTTTATAATCTTTCTACACTCTTTAAGAGTCCCAATCTAATATCAACTCTTGCAAGAGATTTAATAGGTTGCAACAATATCATAATGATAGTATTCACCAAGGCAATTTATACCATCCATTAATATTGAGTAAATAATTTATGCTTTACCCTTCCAGGGCTTTCTTCAAGCAATTTGAATTCTTCAGTGATTTTCTACACTTCATGACACATTCTTCTTTGGAATTTATACAGAGCAACTTGCTTCCATGTATACTTGAGAGATTTACTTATGGAAATATGCTTCGGGCATTTCATAAGCCTTCGTATAATACGTATAATTCTCCACTGAAATGAACAAGTTTCATAATAGGAAATCAAGTTTATAGGAGCGTATTAAAATTTTAGGTTTCAAACAGGAACCTTGTGTCATACCATGTGAGTGTAGTTCATTGTATTACTGTTAACCTTAAAAACTACCAAGCCTACATGGCATGCAACCTAAGTAACTAATGAGCTAACCACGTCCTTTAGTTATGTGCAGGACGTGCCAACTAGTCGGCCGAGCTCGTCCGGGGAGTAAAATATGTTGATGTGGTGTTGGGCTCGCTGATGACTTCTTGATCTTTCTACTGCGGTCGAAGAAGGAACACGCCTCGGTCTTCGGGTTCTAAAGCTTGGAGATAAGGCTGCTAGTTTTGCGAAGTTCAAATATCAAATTCGGCTTTCAATATGCCGAATGTAGTAACCTGTAACACTTCACTTCGCCAAGAAGGCTGATGAGATGACTTCTACCAACAAGGACTCGAAAATCCTTGTTGATCGAGACTTAGATAAATAATTAGTCGGTCTCGAAGCAGTGCTGTTTATCCAAACTGAAGATGCTGCTCGGTAGGCTAATTCTACGGCTCCAGTGCTGTTTATCCAAACTGAAGATGTCACCGGTTGCCTTCACAGTGCTGTTTATCCAAACTGAAGATGTGTTGGCCGAAAAATAAAATAAAAAATCTCAAGATGTTTGAGAGGTTTGCGCAGGGCAATTTGTATGTTGAATTGGATGGGGCTTGAATGATGCACTTCCTTCTTTATTTATAGTAGTGAACCTACTCTTGGCTGAACCAGTGATGTACTCATATTAGAACTCTTTATCCCAATTTGATTATGATTCAGCCAATCCTAGTTCCCATAGGTTCCTGAACTAGGTTCTATAATGAACCAGGTTCATTCCCTAATTCTCAGTGCCTTCAGCTTTGAGACCCTTTGTTGTATCAGGATTCGCCCTCTTTGCTTATCCAAATCAATCATTCTCACAATAGGATTCAGCCAACCTGATTGGGCGGCCTTATGGCAGCAGGACGACCCATAATACTTTTGGAAGAGTATTGGGCTGGAAACAAACCTAGGCTCGGCCCAATAAAATTATTTTGGGCTCAAACATTGCCCCCTCACTTTTGAGGTCGTCGGCCTGCAATTCTTGGCCAAGCTTTGACCTTGAAGAAGTGAAATCGTCCTTTAGCATTTTACTAAAAGGTACTGAGAAACCTTGAATATCGCAACCATTTGACGCATTTATAAGGCACTATTACAGATCTTACCCCTATCAAACTCCCTACCACGTATCATCTTCTTAGTATGTTTGTCCTTTAATGATGACATTTAACACCGAAACGTCCCTTCAGTTTTAAACTCGCCGTCACGCGCCATCATGTAGCCTTAACCCATGATTTTTTTGATCTTTTCGAGATATTTGAACACTAAAATGTCATTTCCCCCCTTAAATTCGCCATT